ACAAACAAACAATCATGATATGAATTTTATTACTCATCGCGAACTTGGTCCCCAATACGTCATGTTACTCGTTTAGTTGCCTAATATAAGTTTAGTCCTCAATACGTCATGAGTAAGTCTTTTAATTGGTCGTGGTACGGATTTTGTTACCTGATGTCAGCTTAGTTTTCAACTGGTCATAGCTCGTGGTTTTTATTTAATGTGAGATTAGTGCCCAATTGGTGACTGTAAACGGATTTGTTGCCTAACGTAGTCTGTTCTAGCTGGTCACAGTACCGATTTTCTTATCTAATCAACTTTGATATCATTTGTAGATTCATAGACGCCGAGTATGTGGGGACTGCGACGATGAAGACTCCACTATAAGTGATGTATCGGAGACCAGACCCCTTTTCCTTGAACTGACTGAAGGTTAAAACTTTATACACGCATTACTTTGAATTTTGAATTTTTCTAATATTAAAAAAAAATATGTCAATAAACAAATAATACAAATGTTCAGCTCATCATGTAAAGAAATAAACCAGTTTCCTATTAGTATAAAAACAAGAGCTAGAGTCAAGTGTGTATTAGCAAAATATATTGATTGGAGACTGGACTTCGTAATTTAAACAACAAGATAAAAGTACTAATAATATTTTCATTTTACGAGTTTATGTGAAATGTAAAGTACATATTTTTGTAGTTAAGGTGAATGAGCTGAGTCCCCTGGCGGTCGTGTTACATATTTTTATACTTAATGCGTTCTCATTTCTCATCTAATCATGATATGAATTTTGCTATCTATTACGAGCTTATTGCTTAACCAGTAATCATTTTTGTTGAGCCTACTTCCATAAAAATTGTTTTGTTATTAGGCCAAGTAAAAAAAAAAAAAACAATATTTAGCGTCCTACCCGCTTCCTTTATTTTTTGCAGCCGCCTCTCCCCATTTTCTTTTTTTTTTTCGGGGTAGGGGAGTGATTTTTTCCTTTTCTGAATTACCGTTTTTGATCATACAGTAAAACAAAGAATAATTCTGAATAAAAAATGAGATGAACATAGTTGATTAATTTTGCCATTTTTCTTTATTTTCATAAATTCTGTATTGTTTTGATGAAAAAAGAAAACTTCTGTTTGACATGGACCCTTTAAAAAAACAATCATTAAAAAAAAGGTGCAAACTTTTCTTGAAAGAGGTCATCAAAAAAGAAGAACCTCCTCCTTCCATTTTTCGAAAACTCCGGACGTTAAACATGATATTTTTTTACTTGGCCTTACATTACTTTTGTTACCTACTGTTAGCTTCCTAACTCTAGCCTAGTGTGAGCTTAGTAGCCAATTTATAGGGATATTGTTGTTGTTTTTTCCCCCTAGTGACATTAGCTGTTATCTGTTTATCATGGTGATTTTCATGTCGAATCTGAGCTTTTTCCCTAATTGATCATGGTATACGGATTTTCTTATTTAATAAAAGTTTTGTTCTCATATGCTCATGGTTACAATCAATAAATTCTTTATAAGTCTCCAACTTGTCATAATAACAGTTCTGCTAAAAACTATCAACTTAGTCATCACCTGGTCATGACATGATTCTGATCACTTAATGTGACTTTCGCACCCAGCTGGTCGTGATTCGGATTTGATATCTGAAATGTGTCAGTTTTTACCTGGTCATGCCTAATGTGATTTTAATACCCAGATGTTCGTGATTTGAATTTCATATCTGTAATGTATCAATTTTCACCTGGTCATGCCTAATGTGACTTTAGCACGCAGCTGGTCGTGATATGGATCTGATAACTGTAATGCGTCCGTATCACGAACAGCTGGAGATTGACCTCAGGTTGTCAGACCCATGTCATGACTAGATGAGAACTTTACTTGATATATGTAATGCATTAGTTCTCAT